AAGCATGTGTGTGCGCGCGGGGAAGTCGGTCAAGGATCTTTGAGTCAGCAAATGGGAAGCAGCTGCCTGAAAAGTCACACTCGTCATTGCCTTTCGGATGGAGCTAATATCACCTTTTGGAATTTCGTGTAAGTAAAAGACCGAAGTTTACGAAGGCATACAGAAATAAAACTAATTTACAGAGGGTTTTTACTACCTAAGTAAATAATATTATAAATAACCCAAGGTATTTAATTAAGAAGAGAAGATATTCCTTGAGATACTGGAAAAATTGATGCGTAAATTTTGAAGGCTGGTCGCTCAGCTCGTCGTCTTCCAAACGTTACTTTACTAATACGGTTTGTAAAGGGTTTGTTTCTGGAATTAAGGAAGCCGCTGTCTGACTGAGAAATTAGATTCCAATTTTCGGATCCAGTTAGCGTGCGACGAAGCTGACCAACGTCGGATTCGTTTCGCCTTCGACTGCCGGACCCTCGAAGTCTATTCGGATTCGGTTCGCGTGCAAATTATCACAAATTATTTTGTGAATTTTTCAATTATCGCGCGCTTTTCGCTATATATAAGCTTATTATAGCAATCGTATCTACTATTTCTTTTTTGTTTGTTATGCTTCTTTTGTTTTCTCTTCTGCGTCCGCGTTATGCCCCTCCGCATAACTCCTAGGACAGCCGATCCCCGGTGTTTGATCCCCATGGTGATCCATATAATAGGTTGTTACTAATGTCTTTTTGGTTCTAGCGGCCCTGGCCATTATGCGCCCCGGCAGTAGCACCTCTCAAATCACCTTCCTTCTTTTCACAGGATGATGTGGGACCTGCTACCTACAAGTTTGAAAGTCCTATCGACCAGGAGTTGAGGGAACTGAAGGCGAAGACAAAGGCGTTTGACGCCTTCCAAGAGGCTCGACTGGCTCCTATGAAGCACGGTTATTATGTTGTGGATGTAAGAACCGAAAATTTTTAGCCCTTAAACTCATTCAGCAATGTCAAGCTTAATGTGTGGGTGCTGAACACTGTAGCATGATGTGTGCTTGGCTGGACAGTTAAACATTTTCCACTACTTCAGAATCCAAAGGTTTTCTAAATTCTGTTTAGTGCAGTTTTACTAAGGGATAGATAGGTAAACGCCTTTGAGTTCTCTATTGGTAACACAGTGGCTAAGAAACGCGTCGAGAAATCCAAAAAGAGCTTGTTTACATAATTGCAGATGAAACGCGAGCAGCCGTATATTCGTTTAGAAATGTAAACATAAACAGCTACTCACTTATTTCACGTAATATCGCATGTACAATTACTTCCTCGAGGGTAGTACATGGGCTTACTTTTTGATACCAAAACTGACGAGGATTTCTGACAGCCGATAGCGAACTAAGGCATCCTAGACGCATAGATCGCACTGGCAAAATGTACGGCATAAAAATATCTTGCCTAAAGAGTTTAGATTTTTGCCAGATGCCTTCTAAAACCAGCAATCTTACCATTGAAGGCTTCGCTAAATTTTGGTCCCATCCGTGAACATTCCGATCAGACATTTTCAAATTTAGAGGTACATGCTGTTCGTAAATTGAAAATTAAATTGGCTAACATCTGTTTTCGGTAATTCATCATCAGGCCACTATAACTACAAAAAAATTACCTTTGTGCCAGGAACAAAGATTATGCGTTTACCAACTGTTCCCAAGTTACTTTAATCCTAATCAATTCTCTGCCCCAGCGTTGCTCCAAAACCCTTTCCGGGAATTTCTAGCATAGACCAACACAGTTGAGCTGTACTTGGTCATGTTCAGTAGGAGGGGATTCAGTAAACTTCCGCGAGATCTCAAATGCTGACACACAAGATATCCGGGCGGTAAATTATTTCATTTTAACCAGCAATTAACAGGCTGCTCCGTCTGATCATACTAACAACCGCCCCTGTTGTTTTTAAGAAGAAGGTCCCTCTACGAAGGTCACTTTATTCGCTTGGATTAATGAGCGAAACGACTAAGCAGACTACGAACGAAGATTGTTTCAGAAAACGATGATAGGCCGATTACGTGATGTTTCTTGCCGGAATATCGGTTCCTTTTTTGCTTATAAAGTCGAACAGCGGCGGGGTCACTTGTAGTCCCCTGTGATCTTACAAGTCTAGAGCAGATAAGTCAGCATTCCTATTATTTGAAAATGCCATACTCACGAGTGTCCTGCAGGAATCGCGCTTAAGCTTGCACTTACTTATCGCTGAGCTTTCGTGAGCCAGAGCAACGTTGACCAAAACTTGCGGGTGCTCATTCGATCACCTCCTCAAAAAAACTGAATAGGGAGCAATTTAGGATGTCCAGGAAGTTTTTAGCTCTGCACTCCAAAATCCGGGACCTTTACGATAGCAGTACCATTCCGGCTATAGATTTCCTGGATAATTGCATGGAAGTTCTCATTATGATTGCATCACCAAATCTGTTTTGCCTTGGGATTTCATCCAACCACTTTAAATCTCGTGAAAGGATTGTTGCAGTTCTCGACGGCACTTGAATAAAGCGCCTCTGTCCGAAGGATCATCTGATTTTCGTAAACTCGGTAAAATTCTTACTTCTTGAAGGTCAAATGCAGAACCTTTCTGCCGCTCTCGTCGAATCAAGTCTGATATCATCAACCAGTGTGTCCAAGAACCTGCTCGGCTGCGGTTTAGATTGCGATCCCAGCAGGATTTCCTAAACAGTCAATATAGAATCCACCAGACGACTTTCAGGCATACTAAATCGATAGGGGTTTATAACAGAGTTGAATAGTTCAGTGAATTTGGTAATCATCTGGCGATCTATATTGACTGCTTAGGAAATCGGCATTTATGGATTCCCTGCGCTGTAGCAGGCTACGCGGGTAATGCGACCGAAATACATTTCAACTTACGGCTTACTTCTGAAGCCAGGGCCAGTGTTGACTGCCCCACCAGTCGTACTCGAGATTGTACATGTGAGTAAGAGAGATGAAAGCTGCTTTTACGTGAGATTGTGGAGCAAGTTAAAGTGTGGTGTGCGATTGGTGTGTTGCATTGCCCGAAGGGGTGTTGCGTATAGGGGCCCATTCTGCATCGTTCGTTGGGATGGCGTGTTCAAGTGGCCCTTTGGCAGCTGCAATTACTTGGACACGTGTATATGCAGTGCAACTAACTCCCATATATAGTTGACCCACTTTTTAAAAAACTCACGACCTCGGCGGGAGTCGAACCCACACAGCAGGGGAGGCTGTTGCGCAGCCAACGCTCTGCCATTGAGCTACGAGGCACGTCTTGCGCCGTGAATTTAATCACCCTGACAACTCCATATACTATTATACGCACTTGTTAAAAGCATGCGATA